TCACTCACCCACACCAGATGGAAAACTCTACAGACTGTCGGTTCACACCCCATCACAAGCCAGCAAAACATCCACGAAACAAATATATATATAAAGGGCCATAGCCAGTAGTTCAGTTGGCAGGTCCAACTACCAAACACCATAGTTAGAAAACATACATATATATATATATATGAATGGTTTCAGTGTACCCTTCATGTTGGTCTTGTTTTTTTATTTTTACGGTTTGTTTTGCAAATTGCGCTCTTTTAGTTCACCGATATGTGACAATATACATATCATCAAATAGAGCAGCCCGGTAAACCGTAGGCAGAGAGGGAGAAAAGGACAACAAACGAGGGGCTGTGACAAACTGTTTCGTTGGAGTTTCACCGACTCATCAGGAGGCTGAACCCTCGACAGTCTGCAGAATCCCCTATAGAGGGCTCTAGACAGTAGTTCAGTTGGGAGACATGCCCGGTCCAGCAGGACAGACAACAGAACAGGCAGGCATTCCTCCCTTCAATGGCCAAAGACATACACTCATGTCAGACCTCACTCCACAATTCTTTGGGGCGGTCAGATTATCAACCAGTTAGAGCATCCTCACACTAGGACTTTCCTGGCTGCATCTGACCGCAATTACGCCTTGCCGCGGATGCACCTGGCCGCAACTACGTCCAGAGAGCACTTGGAAAAGTCCTACTGCGAGTACACACCCTTAGGATAGGAAGGAGTCAAGCTCGCGGAACCTAACACCAGTGGGAAGACCCCACTGAGCTTCTGCTCATGTCCAGGTTTTCAAATTCAAACTTAAAAGTTAAAACGCATTCAAACGTGAGGAAAGGAAGCAGACTTTACTACCCCTATGTTCTGTTTGGACTCGACGGTCAACTTGTCAAGTGCTGGGAAAGTAGGGCACACAAGTCTCCTCTCCTCGATGGCCCCCATTATGACATAATCAGCAAATTCACTGCAACTTCCATTCCCGCTTGAATGAAAACACAGTATCGCATAAAACCACTGGGCTTTCCATATCGAAGTACAAGACGGTATGCCTCCACGCTCAACTGCAGCGTTACCACCTTTCTGCGCAGTACTATTCACGTCATCTTTCACATTTCTTTTCTTTTCTTTTCTTTTCTTTTCTTTTCTTTTCTTTTCTTTAAATCCGCGTGTCTCTTTAGCTTATCTAGTTTAACAGTGACAACAAACAAAAACAAAAAGCCTTTTAAGTCTCAATCCCATGTCGTTTTTTCCTGTCTCAAGAGTCCTGCGGAGTTCTTCCTCCTCTTCCTCACTTCATATTCTCCTACCTACCTGCCTTCACATGGAGGCATCAGATCTTTCCCCTGGAGATGGCCCAGCCAGGTCTTCACCCTCGGATCTGTCTTCTTCACCCAAATAAAATACAAGGTCATTATAGCGGTATTCGGGCCAACTTTCATTCCAGATATAGCGAAAATGACCGTGCATTCTATTCAGTTGACGACTACGGATTACCCGAGTCCTCTCCGAACCGTACATGATAGGCACCTATTACAGGACTCTCCAAGTCAACATACTTCAGATGAGGATATAGATAGATATTTCTGGATATACACCCCTTTCTCGACTCTCACCGATTCATGGCAATGAGCCCGCCCTTCTATACCACTTCTTCGTGGCTCCCTTCGTATTCTGCAGCCAGGCTTTCGCCAGTCGATCAAGATCATTGGCCAGCAAGGTGTCAAAATCCCTGGAGCTCCATCTATCATCTCATTGAAAATGCAAACCCTTTCTGCATTCCCTCTTTAAGTTACGGCCTTCCCTACCCGTTTCCCGAAAAGGAAAGCTGAGGCATTGCTGCCATCCCCTCCTCCCCTCCTGCTCTTGGAGGTTTCCAAAGGCTCATGCCACAAACTACCCTGGGCTCCCGTTTCATAACACCCTCTCCTCTCCCTCTCCCTTCGCCCGCCTCCATGTCCTTAAACCCACACCAGTACACCATACATCGGCCCGCCCACGGGTGTCACCATGAAACCCCCGCACCACTTCCGAGGCCAGCTAAAGCTAAAAGCTTTTTTTTTTTTTCAACCGAGGCGCGGCCCCTCCGAGTTTTGCTTGTGGCGACAAAAACTTCCTGCAAGCCTGGGGCCGTGTACTGGCGGCGGTTTGAACCACCAGTTCACGCGAGCCTAAGTTGACCAAGGCTATCTTCCAAGGCTCGAGAGCCTGCAACTGCCAAATTCCAAAGTGACCTGCGACATTCACTGCCGGCCCACCGAATCGCAGGGCCCAGGCCCGAATCGCAGGGCCCAGGCCCGAATCGGTGGCTTAACTACCGGAGCAAGAGTACTGCTCAGGTTCGTTGAGCCAGTGGTTTAACCAAATCCTTTGCAAATGGAGAGCGTTGAGAGCTGAGAGCTGTGGCTGCTACCGCTGTGGCTGCTACCGTCTTCACCCGAGTAGAACGCCGGGTCATTATCGCCGCATCTGGACGGAAAGTTTCCCCAAATACAGGGATAATGACCGGGCGTTCTATTTGGGTGACGACGATAGGCACCGGCAGGCACTGCTGTAACGTCGTGTTCGCTGAAGCACGGACTACGAGCGTTGGCCTACTACGCACTTCACCATCTCTGCTTCTGCAAAAATCAGTATGTCCCATTCCTTTGCTGTCTCCCAACTTCCCTCTGCTTCAACTCTCTCTCTCTCTCTCTCTCTCTCTCTCTCTCTCTCTCTCTCTCTCTCTCTCTCTCTCTCTCTCTCTCTCT